GCTTAAAGATACAGTACGTCCCAGGGGCATTTCTGGTCCCCACCTGTCGTTTTGCTCCTCAGCATGGCTTCCTAAAAACACTGCAGGATTTCTCAAACATGCATGAATGAGTCAGAGCAAGGCTTTGGTCATGTTTTTTTATGAGAGTATAACATTATAACATGATATAAAACTCAAAAAAGTTGATTTTACGTGATATTGCCCCTTTAACTCCATCACAATACATTTAACCACCTGACTTGGGGTCAAATATTAAATTCAAGCACCATCATTTAACACTGTCAGGTTTAATTTTGATGAGCTGTTGGGCGAGCCGCTCTGCAGAAAATGCGCCGTCGCTGGATCTGAATTACAGTCAGTAAGGAAGTTTACAGGTTGGTAAGTAAAACGGGGAGAAGCCGCTGCCAGTCAGCATCTTAAGATGGCGGCCCCGGCAGCTGCTGTGAACTGAGGCGTGCGAGCGCGCGCCCTGCGGGTGTCCCGCGCCGCAGGCTCCCAGAGCGGCAGCTGGAAGTGGCCCGCTCGTTACTCACCCCTGATCTTTCACAGTAAATCTTGATCCCGCCAAAAGAGACCGTCAAGAAGACTCGCTGCTTGTGCTCGCCTTTGGAACGTGCTGACGAAGCCATTCCCTGCAGGAACATAAAGAAAATTCATGACATGAGGAGAGGAAGGGAAGGACACGCAGACGTGTTCTCTTGTAGCTCAGATGAGTGTGACAGTGGATCATCGGTGCAGATTCACAGGATAGATTGGAGGTGAGGTGACACTCTCTCAGGAAATCACACGCCATCTTCTGCCTCTTATTACTGCCTCGTTTCGTCTTTGAAGTAAGTCTTCTGCATGTGCACGTGACAAACACGAGCTCCTGACAATAAGGTTAGATTTGCTGACAGGATGGATGGTGCTGCTGACCGACCAGTTTGCTCCACATAGTGCTGACAGAACACCCGTTTCTGCCTTTGAAGAGCAAGTTTTCCTACGAATCTTTGCTTTTTTTTCCCCTTTTTTTTTCGTCAAACACTCAGCTCAGATAAAAGAAACAATTAAAACTTTCATCGTGTGCCGTTTGATGCGACCTGTGTGCTTGACATGCCTTTCATAGAACAATGCTGGAGAGGAAAACCACGAGAGAAGAAAGGAGAAGAGCTGAGATGATACGAGAAGAAAGAAGAGGTGCTGAACGTGTCTGATAAAAAAACACAGCTTTAATGATGACGAATGAGTGGTTTTACATGTGCTTCTCAAAAAATTAGCATATTGTGATAAAGTTCATTATTTTCTGTAAATACTGATAAACATTAAAGTTTCATACATTTTAGATTCATTACACACCAACTGAAAGAGTTTAAGTCTTTTATTGTTTTAATATTGATGATTTTGGCAAAAAAGTAAAGGAAAAATAAAAAATCCCTATCTCAGAAAATTAGCATATTTTATCCGAACAATAAAAGAAAAGTGTTTTTAATACAAAAAAAGTCAACCTTCAAATAATTATGTTCAGTTCTGCACTCAATACTTG